CCCCCTCCCCTTTCCCCCCCCCACACACCCTGGACGCGGCATCCACAGCCTTCTGAATGGCGACATGCAGATCGTACAGTTCGGCATCCAGGGCATCGTCATCATCAGGTCGTACATTGATGGCCCGCTCCAACTGCCGTACCACCTGTGGTTTTAGGATGAGGAGGGCAGCAGGCCATGACATGCAGACAAACAAAGACACACAAACACATAAACCCCCGGTGGGGACGGAAAGGGCCAGGAGCCAGCACGCACCCGACGTGCAAATGGAGATGGATGTGGGGGCACTTCCCAGCTTTTTTTCCCCTGCGTTTGAAATCATTCATTACGGAACCCACACCATCCCCAAGCCCCTGCACAGGGATCACGTGCTCCCTGGTCCCCACCCCCCCGGGACTCATACTCCCATCCGCGCCAATATGGGGCCCCCTCAATGCCCCCCTCGTCCCCCCTCGTCCTTTGCGGGTTGCAGAAACCAAAACCCCGAAAACCCTCCGTCGTACATGTCGGTGATGCAGCAGGTTGTTGGCCACCCGTAGGTCCTCCAGGTAACGGCGCCGCTCCGAAAGCATGGGAACCACCCGCCACGTCAGACACGTCAGTGCCGTACACACCACCAGCAGCACGCGGGAAGACATGTTGCCTGCACGCGGCCCCAACCAGGGGGTGACACAATCAGGGGGTGAGAAGGGGCTCCCCTTACTCGTTCAGCAGCAGTAGCAGTAGCAGTAATAGCAGCAGCAAAAGCAGCGTCCTCCTAGTTCCGAGCCCCCACCATTCTTCCTGTTTAGGAGACAACCACAGCCCCTCTCAACCCCCTCATAACTTTCCAATCCTCATCCCCCAATTCCCACACATACATAAATTTGGGGGAACACCAAGAAAATGCCAACGAACACACACAGGTTGCCCCCACTCACCACCAGTCTCTCTCCCCCTAACCCCCCCAACATACACACAACCCCTCCCAGCCCCCCCACCCACCCGCCAGCAGTCTCCTCTCCATCCACATGTCCAGTCTCTGACCCAGGGTGGGGGCAATACCCAGCTTCCCCGCAGCCCCCTCCGCCTCCAGTACGGCAGCCCCCACACCCCTGAATGCCACACGGTGCTCGGCAATGGAGGCGGGGCTGGAGCGGGGGGCACCACCCAGGCCAGGGCCCGGGACCTGGGGGGAAGCCCGGGGTGGTGTACGACAAGAAAGGGGGGGGGGAGAATACCAATGGGTGCTTATCAACACGATGGTGCAAGAAGTGGTCACCAGCATGGTCAACCGCAGATACATCTACACATACATACGAATGCACGTGTTCCATGAAAAGAGAGAGGGAGAGAGAGAGAGAGACAGGTGACGAGAGGGGGTAGACATACAGACATACCTTGAACAGCGGGTGTAGATCCGCCCCCAGGGGCAGCACCTTGGCCACCCGCACTCCGAGAAGCAGCGACCACAGCCTCCACAGGACACCCATCACACCACCGCCTCCCCCACCCCCAAAACGGGAGCCGGGGGGCCGCCGGGCACCACCACCGCCACCACCGCCAGCAGTTCTACTAATGGCAGCTGTGTCCTTCCCCCCCCGGCTGGCGGCCCCAGAAGGA